GCCTGGCATCTGCCCTCTGTCTTCCATGGAAGCAGGAGGGATTAAACTGGAATCTGGGTTGTACCATGGGACCCTCAGCAGGAATATCCTAAGGGGCCTGGATGCCTCCTAGATGCTGGGATGGTAGAGTGCGTTGAGTGGCCAGGAGCTGCCTTGTGGAGGCAGGACACAAATGTGGCTGGGTAGTTCAGGGGAATACTCTTCAGGTAAAGACATCATTGGCTGAAATCGGACAGTTCTAGTAGACAGAGAAGGGCTGCAGGTAACTAGGCCTAGGGCTTCTTGCCGTCCAGTGGATGAGGTAGGCTAGAGGGGGTCAGACAGAACTGAGGAGACCAGAAAACTGGTCCCCAGCAAGCCTGGCCTCCCCATGATTCTTCCTGTAGCAGGGAGAAGGCCAGGTTCCTGAGTCTGTAAGTGAAGAAGATCGTGCTGAGGTCCAGGCAGCCCCACTGTTTGTGCCATTGTCACTAGGACTTCTAAAACATGGGCCTTGTGGGGAGCCTGGGTCTAGGGACCACAGGCCTTGGTTGACAGAGAAGTGAGGGCAATTTGGCAGAAGGTAGCCATGAGAATCATGGCAGCTGAAATCAAAGTACAGCCGCAGAGGTGGCTCTGCAGTTAGGAGCCCTTGTTTGAGTCCCAGCACCTACATGGTAGCTCACAAACATCCCTAACTCCAGTTCCAGGAGATCCAGTGCCCTCTTCTGACCTTCAAGGGCACCGGGTATGCATGTGGCGCGTGGATATACATGCAGGCAAACCACTTATATGTCTAAAATAATATAAGTAAATCTAAGAAAAAAAGGTTTAACTGATTTAAAAGAAAGTGGACACTTTTTTAAAAATTTATTTATTATGTATACAGTAGTCTATGTGCAGGCCAGAAGAGGGAAGCTGATCAAATTACAAATGGTTGTGAGCTGCCATGTGATTGCTGGGAGTTGAACTCAGGACCTCTGGAAGAGCAGCCAGTGCTCTTAACCTCTGAGCCATCTCTCCAGCACGTGCATGCTATTCTTAGAGACCTGAATTCAATTCCTAATGCCTGTATTAAGCAGTTCGCAGGGGCTCCATGTGTACCTGGACTCATGCATATGCCCTCCCTCCACGCACATATACATAAGTTAATATTAGGGGTGGGCATAGTGGCACATGCCTTTAATTCCAGCAGAGAACAGAAGATCTCTGTGAGCTCAAGGCTATCTTGGTTTACCTAGAGAGTTCCAGGCCAGTCAGGTCTATGTAGTGAGATTCTGTCTGTAAAATAAAAGGAAGCCAGGCTGTGGTAGTGCACACCTTTAAACCCAGCACTGAGGAGGCAGAGGCAGGCAGATCTCTATGAGTTCGAGGCCAGCCTGGTCTACAAGAGCTAGTTCCAGGACAGGCTCTGAAGTTACAGAGAAACCCTGTCCTCCTCCCCCAAAAAAAGAAAGAAATCTTTGAAATCTAAAAACAAAGCAAACAAACAAACCAAAAAAAAAAAAAACCCAAAAAACAAAAACCCACTTCAACAGCAAAAGAATAGCTGATTTTTAATTTTTTCCTCCCGAAGATAGAACCTAGTATCTCACACTAGGCAAGTGCTCTAACACTGAGCTACCCCCACATTTTTATTTTTTTAACACAGGATTTTGCTAAGTTGCTCAGGCTGGTCCTGAACCTGTGATCTTCCTACCTCAGCCTTCCTAGTGCAGGCAGTGTTGCCTCTTGCTCCATGTCCTGAATAACTTAGAAGGTTTAGGAGTGATCACAGGGTACCCAAAAACTGGGCAGTGCTGAGCCCACACTCATTTGGAACCTTCCTTATGGTTCTTAATCTTCCTAATGCTGTGGCCCTTTAATATAGCTACTCATGTTACAGTGACCCCCAACCAGAAAATTATTTTCGTTTCTACTTCATAACTATAATTTTACTACTGTTAATGTAAATATCTGTGTTTACAGATGATCTTAGGTGACCCCTGTGAAAGTGTTGTTTGACCCCCAAAAGGGCCGTGACCTATAGGTTAAGATCCACTGCTCTTACAGATGATGTGACAGCCAAAGAGACCAGTTTGTACAGGGCAGCCTTGAGTCTTTGAGCTTGAGTTTCCTTGTCTGTCAGACATAACCCAAGCCTTGTTTGTTGTGTGCCCTGGGAAGCATTTCCCAGCACTATCTCCCCCAGGCCTGGCAGGAGAATTGTCATCCTCATCTTTTCAAATGAGGACCCTGTGGTCTGGAGTGGTGACATTGTTTCCCAGTGACTTACAGAGTGAAGTCAAAGCAGAGATCTATCTGTCTGACCACTGTAGAAGGAATGGTGGGCCGCTTCCCGCCACTCACCTGGCTAGCTTTACCCGAAATAATTACACGGAAACTGTATTCTTTTAAACACTACCTGGCCTGTTACCTCCACCCTCTTATTGGCTAACTCTCACATATTGATTCAACCCATTTCTAATAATCTGTATCTCACCACGAGGTAGTGGCTTACCGGAAAAGATTCATCATGTCTGACCTGGCAGCTTCATGGCGGGCAGCTCCCTGACTCTGCCTGACTCTGCTTCTTTCTCCCAGCATCCTGTTCTGTCTACTCCACCTATCTAAGCTGCTGTCCTATCAAAAGCCAAGGCAGTTTCTTTATTAACCAATGAAAGTAACACATAGACAGATGATCCTCCTCCATCAGACCACAACACCTGTGCTTTTGGAGGGATGTCAGGGATTGAGCCCAAAGTCTCATCCATAGTAAGCATAGGTTCTACCACCTCACTACATCTCCAGAACACTGAGACTTTTCTGAAGTTCAGTATCCACAGGGGATTGATTCCTGGGTACCAAAATCCACGAAAGCTCAGTTTGTCTGTATGCCCAGTGTAGTAGTACTTGTATAGAGCCCACACACCTATAAGGGAAGCAAACGCAGGTTCTCTACAAAGGCACTCTAAACCAGGAACTGTTTTTTGTTCACCTAAGTATAATATGAAGGTTCAGTTTGCAGTTGTTGCAGCCAATGTTGAGTCTCTATGAACTGGCTTGTCACCAGGATGTATCTAGATTTCTTGCAAATGTGGGCCTCTTTAATTGGTGCCAATTGTGGGGTTTTGTTTGCTTGTTTTTGTTTTTTTTTGGGGGGGGGTTTTTTTAATCGAGACAGAGTTTCTCTGTAGCTTTGGAACCAGTCCTGGAACTCACTTGGTAGACCAGGCTGGCCTCAACCAGGCTGCCCTCGAACTCACAAAGATCTACCCACCACTGCCTCCTGAGTGCGGGGTTCTGGGATTAAAGGTGTGTGCCACCACTGCCCAGCTGCCAATCATGTTTTTGTTTGCTGACCTGGAACTTGCTATATAGGCCAGGCTGGCCTTGAACTCACAGAGGCCCTCCTAACTCTGCCTTCTAAGTGCTGAAACTAAAGGCTTGCACCACCATATCTGACTGGTGCCAATCATTTTTAATCTCTACTGAATTACAGCATACATGTGAATGTTCACAGTGAAGACACCTGTGGGTCCACTCAGAGGAAGGACCAGATATGCATTGTAGTCTGTGTTCTCCTTCTCTTCCTCCTCCTTCCTCCCCACCTGAATCTCCTTTAGTTGTCTAAACTTGAATGGAGCTTTGTCATCCTCTCCCTTAGTGTTCTTTCACCCTTTGCTTTTCTTTAGACCTGGAGTGGAATTAACTTCTGTCTATGTGTGAACAGAAATTTCCTCACTCCACTGCATATCAATTTAACCTTTTTTTCTTATGATTAGCATTTTTGCTTTGTTTGGGATTTTTTGGATTTTCGAGTCAGGATTTCTTTTTTTTAATATTTATTTATTATGTATACAATATTCTGTCTGCATGTATGCCTACAGGCCAGAAGAGGGCACCAGACCTCATTACAGATGGTTGTGAGCCACCATGTGGTTGCCGGGAATTGAACTCAGGACCTTTGGAAGAACAGGAAATGCCCTTAACCGCTGAGCCATCTCTCCAGCCCTCAAGGCAGGATTTCTCTGTGTAACAGCCCTGGCTGTCCTAGAACTTAGTTTGTAGACCAGGCTAGCCTCGAACTCACAGAGATCCTCCTGTATCTGCCTCCGGAGTGCTCAGGTTAACGGTGTGCACCACCACGCCCTGCATTATGGTTAACATTTTTTAAGGCTTGTTAAGAAATCTTAGGAGAGTGGCTAAAGAACCGGCTCAGTGGTTAGGAGCACTTACTTGCTCTTGTAGAGGACCTGAGTTTGGTTCCCAGCACCCACATGGCAGCTCACAACCATCTGTAATCTGATCTCTTTCCTGAGCTCTGTGGGCACTACATGCCCCTGGAGCTGGAATTCTGGTTAGTTATGAACTACCATGTAGGTTCTGGGAACTGAATCCACGGCCTTTGCAAGAAAAGTAAATGTTCCTAACCGCTAAGCCATCTCTCCAACCCTTTGTAAAGTAACAATTTGAGTGTAGTTCACAGGCCGTGTGTTCCAACCCCTTAAAGTACTCAGGTTTGTGGTTTGTAATGTGACCACAGTGTGCACCCATCATTGTCATCCCTCAAAGGAAACCCCAGCTCCAGAAACAATTGCTCCCATTCCCGTCTGTCTGTCTAGAATCACCTTTTGTGGCTGCACCTTCCACAGACTGTGCTGTAACCTTCATAATTGGTTTCTTCGGTTAGCATGGCCCCGTGTTATATAAGAACTTCTCTGACTGGATAACATGCAGCTTTTGTGTGAGTCACGGACTCGCTGTAGTTCAGACTGGATCCTTTGCTTCTGCCTCCTGGGTGCTGGGATTACAGGTTTGCACTGGAACTCACTCTGTAGACCAGGCTGGCCTTGAACTCACAGAGATCTGCCTGCCTCTCTTCTGAGTGCTGGGGTTAAAGGCATGCACCACCACCCCTGGCTTCATGCTACTTTTTAAGGTGGTCATTTGAGTGCTATGGATGGGGCTTCCCTTTCCCCACACAGAGAGTATACTCTTCTCTGCAGCTCATTTGGCTTCTTTTCTCCTCTTCTTCCCAGGCTGTGGCTCTGCCAATGATCTTGTGAGTGTTGAGAATTTATAGTTTCCCTTGTGGGTCCACCCTAGAGTGGCCACCTGTCTTCTCCCAGCATGGCGTCCGACACACCTGAGTCCCTGATGGCCCTCTGTACCGACTTCTGTCTCCGGAATCTCGATGGCACCCTGGGCTACCTGCTGGACAAGGAGACCCTGCGACTGCATCCAGACATCTTCCTGCCCAGCGAAATCTGTGACCAGCTGGTCAATGAGTGAGTAAGGGGCCCAGGACTGGGGCAGGGTTGGAGTCAAGTATGGGGGATGAAGTCTGAGCTGACGATCCAGACTATATGTTCAGACCCACAAGGGAAAACGCCTATGAGTGTGACAGTGAGGGACAATAGTGATGCATGTATGTTACCATAGAGTTATGGTTGTAGACGCTGGTGTGTGTGCACAGGTGGGACGCTTGAAAGAATAGGTATTACAGGATTATGCAGCACAGAACATGTGTGTGAAGCAGCATGTGTGTTTAGGGATGAGTTAGTATAAAATCCCACATCTGAGTCAGGACATTGTGTGCTGCCCTGTGTATGTGCTCACAACTGTGCCTGCACTTCTGAACTAAGTACACATGGACATGTGTGTTTACATGTGTGCTAAGACCAGAACAACAGACCTGATCAGAGACTGAATCACCCAGATAATCTTTATGCAGCCTTCTGGTGCCCCCCTCCACCACTGCTTTGGGTGCCTACAGCACAATGTATACACACACCCTGAACACTGAGGTATATTCCAGTTATCCCAAAGGGAAACTGTTAGATCAGAGAGTTTCATAACCACATGGGAACCAAGGACTGAGCTCGGAATGGTGCTCTCAGCATTTGACATGGGTCAGGCAGGATGCTGAACACTGTCAGCTCAGCACCAGAGCTAAGTGCATTTCCCAGGTGAAGACACTGACATCTAGGGAGAGTCAGTTACATGTGAGCTTCCCAGCTGTGAGCAGTTGAGCCAAACACAATTTCTCTGTGTCGCCTCTTCTGACCTGGAACTCTGTGGACTGAGCTGGCCTCAAACTCAAACAGCCGCCTGCCTCTGCCTCCCAAGTGCTGGGAATAAAGGCGTGCCGTACCGTGTCTGGCTCTTTTTCTTTTTTAAAGGGGCCACCATGTAGGTGCTGGGAACTTAATACCTGTCCTCTGCAAGAATAAGTATCTTTTTTTTAAAGATTTATTTATTTATTATGTATACAACATTCCTTCCATTGCATGCCAGAAGAGGGAGGGCACCAGACCTCATTACAGATGGCTGTGAGCCACCATGTGGTTGCTGGGAATTGAACTCAGGACCTCTGGAAGAGCAGTCAGTGCTCTTAACCTCTGAGCCATCTCTCCAGCCCTAGCCCAGGATTCATGCACAAACTGGTGTCCTAGCTAGGTAGGGTTACACTGAAGGCTCAACCTCTGCCTAGCACCCAGCTGTAAGCTCAAAACCATTTTACCTAATTTGCCTGCCCTGGAAAGGGCTGATAAGATGCCAGAAGGCTACTAAGAAAAGACGCCTCTGAGCCAGGCGGTGGTGGCACATACCTTTAATCCCAGCAATCGGGAGGCAGAGGCAGGTGGATCTCTGTGAATCTGAGGCCAACCTGGTTACAATAGCTAGTTCCAGGACAGGCTCCAAAGCTTCAGAGAAACCCTGTCTCCAAAAACAAAAAAAGAAAGAAAGAAGGAAGGGAGGAAGGAAGAAAAGATGTGACTGGCCCATGGTGGTGCTGTGACTGAGGTAGTGTGGATCTGCAGATGGGCTGTGTCTGTGAAGAGAGGTGTCGCTGCTGTGTTTAGGCTGCTGAGGGGATGTTCTTGGGACGTGCGATTGATGATGGGAGACCCCTTTTATCACCCTGAGGACCACCTTTTGATTCCTGTCTCCTGAAGCATGCGATGTGGTCAGAATCTAAGCAGGTGCTGCCTGTTGGGTGATATCAGCCCTCAGGCACCTGATGTGGGCACAGAAGGCAGCTCAGGCTCCTAGGCACTCCCTGAGCTACGCACGCTTCTCTCCCAGGTACGTGGAGCTGGTCAGTGCTGCCTGCACCTTTGAGCCCTACGAGACTTTCTTCAGCCTCTTCTCAGACCCCCGCAGCACCCGCCTCACTCGGATCCACCTCCGTGAGGACCTGGTACAGGACCAGGACCTGGAGGCCATTCGCAAGCAGGTGAGGTCGCTCTCCCTACTGTGCAGCCCCCGCCCATTCGTTCCCAGAAGCCGGGCCTGGGGTGGCACAGGGCAGGCAGAGGAGCTGAGACTTCTGTGCTACTCCAGGACCTGGTGGAGCTGTACCTGACCAACTGCGAGAAGCTGTCTGCCAAGAGCCTGCAGACACTGCGGAGCTTCAGCCACAGCCTGGTGTCTCTGAGCCTCTTCGGCTGCTCCAACATCTTCTATGAGGAGGACAACCCAGGGGGTTGCGAGGACGAGTGTCTCGTCAACCCCACCTGCCAGGTGCTGGTCAAGGACTTCACCTTTGAAGGCTTCAGCCGCTTGCGTTTCCTCAACCTGGGCCGCATGATTGATGGTGTCCCCGTGGAGTCACTGCTTCGGCCACTCAACTCACTGGCTGCCTTGGACCTCTCAGGCATCCAGACAAGTGATGCCACCTTCCTAACACAGTGGAAGGACAGTCTGATGTCCCTTGTGCTCTACAACATGGACCTTTCAGATGAGCACATCCGTGTGATCGTCCAGCTGCACAAGCTGCGGTGAGCTGCTCACTCTGCCCTCGGCAGGAGGGGAGGACAGAGGGTGGGAGAGAGGTGTGGGAGAGTGAGGGAACAGAGGGAGAGACCCCACTCCCTAGACCACATTTCTAGATGGATGAGAGCAATTTAAGGCACCTAAGTCCCAGCAGGGCTTTTCGCCGCCAGAATTCCCTGGAGAAGTTGTGGCAGGCTTGGGTCCTCCCGTGCTGTGACCTGAAGGAGTCAGATCCTGACCTGTGGCCCCTGTCTGATCCCCAGCCACCTGGACATCTCCCGAGACCGCCTCTCCAGCTACTACAAGTTCAAACTGACGCGGAAGGTTCTCAGCCTCTTGGTGCAGAAGCTGGGGAATCTGATGTCCCTAGACATCTCTGGCCACATGATCCTAGAGAACTGCAGCATCTCCAAGATGGAGGAGGAGGCAGGGCAGACCAGGTGAGTGCCTGGCTATGACCGCTGGCAGGCTGTTATTCACTAAGCCCCGGCTAAGCACCCTGTGCCAAGGACCATGCTGGTGCTGGAGATAAGAAGCAGGTTCGTGAGGCCAGCATGCTAATGTATGCCTTTATTCCCAGCACACAGAGACAGGGCAGGTTCATCTCTGTGAGTTTAAGGCCAGTCTAGGCTACATAGCTTCAGAAAGGGGTTGGAGTGACTATAGAGATGGTTGAGCAGTTTAAAGTATTTGTTGCTTTTCTAAAGGACCTGGGTGTGAGTCCCAGCACCCACATTATGGCTCACAGCCTGTTTGTAAGTCTGCTTCTAAGGGCCTAACATCTTCCTCTGGCCTCTGCATGCACCAGGCACACATAGAGTACAACAGATGTGCAAGCAAAACACCCATACCCATAAAATTAAAATAAATAATCATTTTTTTTAAAAAAGTCAAGGGCCAGCAAGATGGTAAAGGTGCTTGACACCAAACCTGACAATCTGAGTTCAGACCCTGGAACCTAGTCCTACAAACTGTCTGCTAATTTCCACATGAGTGCTCACGTGTAAGCATGCACAAGCACACACACACACACACACACACACACTGAATAAATTAAAGAAGCAAGTCAGGCCCTGCCCACTGTGGCCCATGTGAGCTGCTAGGCACTGGCTGGGGAAATGTACACTTGGGACTGCCCTAAAGCCATTCTGGGTCTGTTGAGTAGATCATATTGCAGCATGGGATCAGCATGCACAAGGCTTGGGGCCCACAGGTAGTGTGTCTGGGAAACAGACAGCACAGGCACGATGGTATGGCGGGAAGCCCAGATCATTGGACTGCTGTTCCTCAGGTGTGCACATGCCGATGTGTACCTATGAGCTTGTGGTGAGATCTAATTCCAGTCCAGTCACTATAATTGGCCTCATGCCCTCCTTCAGCCATATTTAGTGGCATGTGATAGGAGCTTATTTTTGCTAGCTAGTGAAACGTGTCCCTGTTAGAAGGATACCTCACAAAGGTGGCAGTGGTAGCAGCTCCCATCCCATGTTCTTCCACATTGTGCCCTTCCTACCCTTCCATCAAGAAGTGGGGGCTGGGGGGGCTGGAGAGATGGCTCAGTGGTTAAGAGCATTGCCTGCTCTTCCAAAGGTCCTGAGTTCAATTCCCGGCAACCACATGGTGGCTCACAACCATCTGTAATGAGGTCTGGTGCCCTCTTCTGGCCTGCAGACATACACACAGACAGAATATTGTATACATAATAAATAAATAAATATTAAAAAAAAAAAGAAGTGGGGGCTGGGAATGTAGCTCAGTGCTGGAGTGCTTGCCTACCATGTACAAAGCCTTGGGCTGCATCCCCAGCACAACATAGAACAAGTATGGTAGTATGTGCCTGTAATCCCAGCACTTGGGAGGTGAAGATAGGAGGATCAGGAGTTCAAGGCCCGTCTTAGCTGCTTAGTGAGTTGGGTAGGGCAGGATGAGGCTAGAAGCCCTTGTTTCTTCATCAACGAAATACCTAGTCTGTGGGGGAGCCCTGGCTAGGTCTGCCCAGGTTGCCAACTCTGGCATGCTCTCCCCAGCACCGAGCCTTCCAAGAGCAGCATCATGCCTTTCCGGGCTCTGAAGAGGCCATTGCAGTTCCTCGGGCTCTTTGAGACCTCCTTGTGTCGCCTCACACACATTCCAGCCTACAAAGTAAGAGGTGGGGGGTTGTGGGGAGAGGGGTGTAGAAGAAAGGAAGTGGCCGGGTACTGGAGCACCGCTGAGCCTGTGGATCCCATTACCTGGCCTCTTCTGGCTTGTCCTGAACATGTTCCATCTTAGGTAAGCGGTGACAAAAATGAAGAGCAAGTGCTGAACGCCATCGAGGCCTACACAGAACACCGGCCTGAGATCACTTCCAGGGCCATCAACCTGCTGTTCGACATTGCACGCATTGAGCGCTGCAACCAGCTTCTGCGGGCCCTGAAGGTCAGCTCAGATCCCGAGCCCTCAGGCTCCCAGACAGCCCTGCCCTCCTTCTCTGTCCCTCTGCACCTGCTCCTGATCCCAGGGCATGGCCTTGCATGCTTCCTCCCCTTTGGCAGTGCCTGGCTTCCCTGCCAACTTGTTCAGGCCCTGCCTTAGTTCCTGCTCTCCCCACGTCTACCCAGGAGTACAGGGCTAGGATCGGCCTTTCCCCAGAGGAGCCATGGTTACTAAGAACCCAGGCTGTCCCTGCCTGCCTCAGGCAGGACTTTGAGCCCCAGCCCCCACCCTGTCTTCACACAGCTGGTCATCACAGCTCTCAAGTGCCACAAGTACGACAAGAACATTCAAGTGACCGGCAGTGCTGCCCTCTTCTACCTGACCAATTCCGAGTACCGCTCAGAGCAGAGTGTCAAACTGCGCCGACAGGTCATCCAGGTGGTGCTGAATGGCATGGAGTCCTACCAGGAGGTGACGGTGAGTCCCTGCCTACTGTGGCCTGCATGCTTTGGCCCGGTAACCCTTCCTGCTTCCCAGGATACCAGACATACATGTCACCCAGGCTTACCTGAACTTAGGTGACCTTTTCCATTTCACTCGGCACATTTACTGTCCCAGAATCCTGTCCCTGGCATATAAGGGCCCCAGAAACTAGCCTCAGCTGGAGCCCACTGCTGTGGCCACCCCACCTCTGCCCCTCTGCCCTCTGATTTCCAGATGGGCCACCTCCTCTTCCCTGTCCCTGTCACTAATGAGGAGGTTGTTTTTAATACTTTTTTTTTTTTTTTTTTTGAGACCAGGTTTCTTTGTAGCTTTGGAGCCTGCCCTGGAACTAGCTCTTGTAGCCCAGGTTGGTCTCGAACTCACAGATATCCGCCTACCTCTGCCTCCCACATGTTGGGATTAAAGGTGTGTGCCACCACCACCTGGCTATTTTTTTTTTTATAATTATATGCTATACTAAAATTTCATGTTTTTTAAAAGCTGTTTTAGAATAACTTTAATAAAAATGAAGAAAGGCAGGTGGATCTATGTGAGTTCAAGGCCAGCCTAGTCTTCAGTGTGAGTTCTAGGACAGCTCGGACTGTTTCACAGAGAAACCTTGTCTCAAAAAACCTAAATAAATAAATAAGCAAATAAATAAATAAATAATAAAAATGAAAAGCAAGACAACAAGCCTTAGCTGAGCCTAGTGGTATGTACTTGTAATCCTAGGTCTTGAGAGACTGAGGCAGGGAGGGTAGGAGTCAAAGATAGCCCTGGCTACACAGTGAATTTGAATTCAGCCTGGGTTGTGTGAGACCCCCATCTCCACCTCAAAAAACTCCAAACAAGAAAGCCTGGTAGCCTGCTCCCTGGAGGGCCTCCCCAGCTCTGGGTGGCCTTAGCCCGGAGCCTTGTTCTAAATCTGCCTGAACGCGCTTCGCTTCTCCCAACCCGGCCCAGGTGCAGCGGAACTGCTGTCTGACCCTTTGCAACTTCAGCATCCCCGAGGAACTGGAGTTCCAGTACCGCCGAGTGAACGAGCTCCTGCTTAGCATCCTCAGCCCCACCCGGCAGGACGAGTCCATCCAGCGCATTGCTGTGCACCTGTGTAATGCCCTGGTCTGTCAGGTGGACAATGACCACAAGGAAGCTGTGGGCAAGATGGGCTTCGTCGTGGTACGTGTGCTTGTCTGCCCTTGTCAGACTGTCCTCTGTGAGCGAGGCCTCAGGAGACCTGGACTGGGGTAGGAGGGGTAGGGGAGACCTTGGGTGGGGTGGAGGACTGAGCGCAGGGTCTGGCATGCGCTAGGCAAGTGCCCAGCCCTTTGAAGACTTTCTTCCCCTTTGCTTATTTTTAGTCATGTGTGTCAGTGGGTGCTAATAGAGGCCAGAATTGTTTGACCTATCTGGAGCTAGAGTTACAGGTTATAGATGGAAGTTTCTGTCCTGCCCAGTCCCACAGCCATTCAGTCCTAAATAAACACACTGAGGCTTATATTAATTATAAACTGTTTGGTCTGTTAGCTCAGGCTTGTTATTAACTAGATCTTACAACTTAACCTGTAATTCTTGTCTCTGTCTAGCCACATAGCTTGGTACCTTTTCTCAGTAGCAAGGCATTCTCATCTTACTTGCTCTGCATCTGGCTGGTGACTGAATCTCTGCCTTTCCTCTTTCCAGAATTCTCCTAGTCTGGTTGCCCCACCTATACTTCCTGCCTGACTACTGGCCCATAGCATTTTGTTAAACCAATATGAGTGACAGATCTTTCTAGTGTACAGAAGCATTATTCCACAGCAGTAGGTGGACATAGTAGTCTCATGGGGCCTCTGCATAGTAGTGTGCTCTCCTAACCACAGAGCCATCTCTGAAGTCCACTTAGAAGAGTTGTTTGTTTGTTTCTTTTATTTTGAGACAAGGTCTTTCTGTGTAATCCTGGCTGGCCTGGAACTTGATACATAGACCAAGCTGGTTTCAAACTCAGAAAGATCCACCTACCTCCCCCTGAGTGCTGGTACTAAAGGCATGTACCACCATGACCACCTCAGACAAAATTTGTTTTGTTTTATTTTTCAAGACAGGGTCTCTCTGTGTAGTCCTGTGTCCTAGAACTTGCTCTGTAGACCAGGCTGGCTTCGAACTCACAGAGCTTTTCCTGCCTCTGCCTTCCAAATGCTGGGACTGGGATTAAAGGCGTGTACCACCATGCCCGGCAATCAGAAGAATTTCTTTTCTTTTCTTTTCTTTTTTTGTAAATTTTTTTTATTCTAAATAGTTTTTTTAAAACTTTATTTGATGTGTATTGGTGTTTTGCCTGAGTGTGTCTATGTGAGGATGTCAGATCCCCTGGAACTGGAGTTACAGACAGTTGTGAACTGCCATATGGGCACTGGGAATTGAACCTGGGTCCTCTGGAAGAACAAATAGTGCTTTTAGCTGCTGAGCCATCTCTCCAGCCCCCCAGAAGAATTTCTTAATGTGACTGTTGTTATGATTGTGTGGCCTCTGTCTTTAAACGCTTCCTCTAGTTCCCTGCAGTCATCCCTGTGGAAAAGACCGGGGTTGGCCCTTCCATCACTGTGCCTTCCTGGCCTCGTCTGAAGACATTTTTAGCCTAACACATAGAACAGGATAAATATGGAAGGACAGGAAGAGACAGAAACTAGATGGATCCATTGCCACTTTCACTTATCCCTGGGGACGTGCAGACCATAGCAGGGAAGGGCTGGGCCAAGTCCCAAGGGTATATACTTGACTACCTTCAAACAGCCTCCATAAAAGCCTGTAGCATTGGGCACTGTCAGGCTGTGTCACCTGGAGCAGCCAGTGACTCCCTCTGCTGAGCTCCCGGGCTGTGGGAACCCTGGCCTCAAACAACCGATCTCCTCCGCCCACAGACCATGTTGAAGCTGATCCAGAAGAAGCTGCTGGACAAGACGGTAAGGAGAGCCTCACATACTTTGCCTCATCCCAGAGGCGTCTGTGCCAGGGCTGGCCATGTGTCCTCAGGAGGACACAGCTGAGCTGCCTCCCACCCCCACCCACACAGTGTGACCAGGTCATGGAGTTCTCCTGGAGTGCCCTGTGGAACATCACAGACGAGACACCCGACAACTGCGAGATGTTCCTCAGCTTCAATGGCATGAAGCTCTTTCTCGACTGCCTCAAGGTAGGAGCCAGGCTACCCCCCCACAGGCGGCCCCTCCACAGGCTCCATCCCATGCAAACTTCCCATGGACACACATGGCATGAGAATCTCAGGGCCACACATACACACAGTGTTTGCCGCTATGAGAAGTGTCAGGGGACCCCCGCCCCACCCGGCCATGCCACCAAGCTGGGCCTCCTGAGATCCCTCCTGCCAGGGAACCCAGCCTGTGTTCTCAACAGTCTGCTCTGACTGCCCACAGACCCCTTCCCACTGGATACAGTTCTGCCCAGAGGCTAGTAGGTCTCTGTTTCCTGCTTTAGCATCCAAGGGGCTCCCCAAAGGACTCTTCCGAGCTGTGGCAATGGAGCCCCACTTGTCCCACAGGTCATGGGAGCACTAGGAAGTTGGGGTCAGCCTACTCCTACTGTACCTCTCCTGTGTTTAGAAGGGCTGTTCAGACAGGTGCCCACAAAGCCTTCAGGGTAACAGCAGCAGACGTTAAATGATTGAGTAGGAAGTCCTTGCTGGCTCTCGTTGCCCAGGAGTTCCCAGAGAAGCAGGAGCTGCACCGGAACATGCTGGGACTCTTGGGGAATGTGGCGGAGGTAAAGGAGCTGCGGCCTCAGCTGATGACCTCTCAGTTCATCAGCGTCTTCAGGTGGGTGCTGCCTCAGCTGCCAGGATACTCAGAGTACATTAGTGAGTGTTCCAGGTTTGTGTTGTTGGTACTGCTTTCTATCTAGTATGTGGTTTTTGTTTCCAATTGATTTTGTTTTAATTATGTGTGTGAAGGGATGGGTATGTGCCCTTGAGGCCAGAGGCTTTGGGTTTTCCTGGAGTTGCAGGGTACAGCAGTTGCAAGCCTCCATGTGTGCTGGGAACCTAACTCCAGTCTCTGAATAAACAGTTTGTGCTTTGAGCCACTGAGCCATTTCTCAAGCCCCTATGTGCTTTCTTACCCTTTCAACCTGCCACAGATGGCAGTAATCCAGTCATATCCAGTTTGGAAGGACTCTGTGAATACCAAGTGGCTAGATGTGGTTTCACAAGCTTATAGTCCCAGCACATGGTGTCAAAGCAGGAATCTTGAAGACATAGCAAGTTCCAGGCCAGCCTGAACTGCATGAGATCCTGACTCAGAAACACTCAGAAGACTCGTCATTTATAGCTGAGCCCCAGTAGTACACTCCTGCACTCCTAGGGCTCAGGAGGCTCCACCAGCACTCATAGTAATCACGCCTCGGGCATCGTGTGTCTCGGTTATCATCCTTGATTTGCATGATGGATTGTTCCTTTTTCCTCCTGGTAGCAACCTGCTGGAAAGCAAGGCTGATGGCATTGAGGTTTCTTACAATGCCTGTGGTGTCCTGTCCCACATCATGTTCGATGGGCCCGAGGCCTGGGGTGTCTGTGAGCCCCAGAGGGCCGAGGTGGAGGAGCGTATGTGGGCAGCCATCCAGAGCTGGGACATCAACTCCCGGAGGAATATCAACTACAGGTTTGAGATGGGAAGGTACACACCATGAAGAGTCAGATGCTGCTTGTCCCAGCATGCTGTGATCAGAACTTTCCGCCCTGCTCCTGCCCTCCAAAAGCATCCAGTGTGTGATGGGCACATTTCCCACTTACTAACACCTGTGTGTGTCCAAGGCCTGTGTTCTATGCATGCTTGATACAGAACTAAACCCACACAAAACACAAGTCACCTGTCATCCTGTCCCCATCAGGCTGACCCAGTTCTTACTGTACTGGGAGTGGATTGCTGTCACCAGTCAATCCCCTTCTTCCTGCTGTGCAGTGTGTGCAGCTGGTCATTCATTAACTACCCCTTTGAAAGGATGTGTGAAGCTGTAGAGCTTTACTCACGCCTCCAGTCCCTGGAGACAGGATGCTAGCCCTCCCTGTCCTTGTGTGTCGTCCCCTCTCCCCCGCCCAACTTCCCGTTGACCCCAGGCCATGGGCCTGCTCCCATGTTGCGCCCTCTCCCCTGCACACAAAGAGTGGGTGTCGGCAGGCCATCGCTCTGCTGGAAGGTGGAAAGGTCCTCCAGGTAAGTGAGTCTCGGGGCCCCCTGAGGTTTTGCTGATCTGATTTTTTGGTTTGGGGGCTGGAACTCCAGCCTGGCCTAGAGTCACTGTAGGTGATTCCCCTTGCCTCTCTCTCGGGGGTTGCTGAGACCCCCAGCATTCTGCCCTTCTCCTCTACTCTGACCTTCTCCAGAGTGAGCTCCTGGGTGGAGCCCAAGCAGGGCCCCTGGCATCCCACAGGCTTGCCCACGTGGGACCCTGCAGGGAGAAGAACTCGGGGAGGAGAAAAGGCTCACATCCTCCCTGTCTCGGTTCACATCCTTCTTGTCTTGTTGGTCTTGGTCTTGGTCCAGGTCTGCGGGTGGGGGGGTAACAGCAATCTCTCTTTCTCTCCAGGTCCTTTGAGCCCATTCTCCGCCTCCTTCCTCAGGGCATCTCCCCAGTCAGCCAGCACTGGGCCACCTGGGCCCTATACAATCTTGTGTCTGTCTACCGTGAGTGCCTCCCCTCCCTTAGTTCAGACACTCAACAGAGCACAGCATGTCCACAGGGAGCTGGCATGCAGGAGGGGACACATAGAGTTACTGTTGGCCTTGTGTCTCAGAGCAGTCCTGGGCACTTAGGCATTAGTTGGCATGCTGGTATGATGACTAATCCCACTGTACAATCAGAAACGTCCCAGCCTATACCAGTGTGCCTTTCCTCACACTTCCTACCCCAGCTGTGAGTGAACTTTTTGTCACCTGCAGGGCAGAAGGACACCTATGTTTCCAGCCTGGATTGTTACCACAGTACCTGGGGGTATCTTACTAACAATATCATAAATGCAAGCTGCTGCCCAGGGGATTCCAGTCCAGAACTCCCTGGGAACCTGTGTCATCCTGCAGACCTCTCAGCGGGGGTGCCATCCTTGTGAACCCCTCTGAGGCCTGTGCTTGGGATGATATTTTCTTAATTTATTTGTTAGGACAAACTCTAGGGAAACTAACAATTTTGGACCACAATAGGGAAGTGCCTTTCCCAAGGGCTTGCCCTGTTCCCCCGTCCAGGTGGGCCCAGGAGGCTGGGCAGACATGGTTTGTCCCTGCCCAGCGGTGTCCTTTGGAGAGCAGTTCTGAAAGCAGGGTGGGTATGTGGGGCACAGACCAGTAGAAGGCCACCCATCCTCAGCTACCTGCTCCTGCTTTGTAGCTGACAAATACTGCCCCCTGCTGATCAAAGAAGGTGGGATGCCCCTGCTGAGGGACTTGATCAAGATGGCCACTGCCCGACAGGAAACCAAGGAGATGGCCCGGTAAGAAACAAATTTTGCATTCCTGGCTGGGTACTTGATTTGAATGGCAAGGGGCACAGTAGGAATGGCCAGAGTTCTCAGGAGCTACTCAGGGTTGAATGTGCAGCGGACAAGAGCCTGATCGTCAGCAGAGCTCATCGGCTCTCAGCTGCTCGGTTGGCTTCCTGTGACTCCCACCAGGAGCCCTCCTTGTTGCTCAGCACCAGCAAGAGCTCTACATTATTTTTGACCACAGTTATTCCAACGAAAAAGGACTTTGTGTGGTGAGGCATATTCTAGAGGCCCCGCGTGCACAGTGCTAGTTTCTCTGAACGCAAGTGTGAAGGTGAAGGTCCCCAAGGGGAAAGGGGAAAGTGCCCTTCGATGGACTAGAATGAAGCTCAGTGGCACAGCACGTGCCTTGCGTCCATAGCACATATACATGTGTGCACATGCACGCACATCCATACATACATACATACACACATATATATTACCAGTGTGAGGGTTGGGGTGTGCCTCACTGAACTTCTGTGGCCATGGGATTCTTTGTTGAGTGCCAAGCGTAAGCTCTGATGTGGACACAAGAACGCACACATAACATGTTAGTATCGGTTGGATTGGCTTCCTCTTCCCTATCCTTCTAGCTGGGAGGGTCCTTTATCATAATTCTGAGCACATTGTAGCCTGAGGCTAGACGGCCCCAACCCCCACCCTCAGATATGCCCTTCTGAATGGGGGCTCCAGCTGGCTCTGCCGTTCATTATTTTTGGTGACAGCACTGTTTCAGTATTAACTGGCAGACTAGTCCTCCAGCTCAGTCTTCCTCGGGAGTCCCCTGGAAAGTGTTAGAATGGAATGGGCCTCACCTACAGATTTCTTACCACTAGGCCTGGGGCTGTCCATGTTAAGCAAGGATCTAGGACTTGCCAGTCACTAGGTGGGGCTTATCGGCCCTCTAGGCACCCTGGGACCTGAGATGTGTCTGAGCCAGCGGGTCCTTCTGGCATCAAGGAAAAAATGGCCTTAGGCATTTCCATCTCAAAAGACCTTGATGCACCCTCTTAGCAAATTTAGGCTGCAGTGAACCCCCAAACCTGCAGACAAGCAGTGCAGGGTCAAAGGCAACAACACCAGCAATGGGTGGCAGTTTTCTCAGGGAGCAGGGTGACTGGGACACTAAGGCCTGGAGCCAGTGTGGCTGCCTGTGCAGATCTCCAGTCCGGTGCTTGTTTGGGACCCCCTAGTGGACTTCTGCCGAGAGAGTGGGCTGGGGTGCAGGGAAAATGGCGGAGAGAGCAGGTTTGGAAGCTCAGGCCTGGCTGCTTATAGGAATCGCTTCCTGAGCTGAGGACAGTGGCGGTGTGCATGAGCACAGGCGCTATTTCCCAGCTGCTCTGCCAGCTGCTGACACACCATTTGAGCTGGGTCAGGGTCACTCTTAACACTTGTTAGGCAGCCTCGGGGCCCCAGGAGGAGCAGCTCTCTTAGTCACCATCCAATGCTTTCCCCTGTTGTGTCCAGCAAGGTGATTGAGCACTGCAGTAACTTTAGAGAGGAGAACATGGACACGTCCAGATAGAGGCCTCCACCCATGGCCACACAGCCTGGACCACAGGACCGGAGGAAGCGCTGGAGTCCAGTGGGCAGGTCCCTTGCAGAGCCTCCCGCTGGATGAAGAGACAGTGAGGACTTTTGCACAGCTGACGCTTTTCCTTAATGCTAGTGAGATATATATTACATATATATTATTTTTTTTTTTTGGTTAGGAAGTGTGAAGTTTTGTGTGTATGACTTCTCCTAAGTCTCCGCAGCTCCTTGCCTCTCTCAGCCCACCTCCAAGCTTTCGTTGCTGCCGTGTTCACTCCCGCCCCAGCCAGGCTTGCCTCAAATGCTGTGAGTGTCCAGTCCCTTCCCAGTGAGCTCAGATCCTGGCCTGGCTTCTGTCTGTTGTGGGAGGAGCTGGCCCTTGCCAGGCTGCTCAGCATCCCAGGTGTCTGCCTGAGTGCCCTGTCTGGCTCCAGGTGAAGTTGGTGGGGTTTGGGGATTGAGACCAGCTCTGCGGAGTCTGCAGAAGCCTTGGTGCTCCGGGCTGTGAGCCAACCGGGGTCGGAGAGGAAGCTGTTCCCAGGCCTCAGGCTAAGCAGCTCCTGGCCAGAGAACCCTGGAGAAGCAGGGCTGTGTTGGCCCACTGCTCTCTGGCCAGGCCTGCCTGTGGCCATGCTGCTATGGAGACCATCTCATGTCTCCCTCAGGCCCCAGGCTTTTGAAGGCTCCAGCCCCAAGATGGTCAGAATTCAGGGGCAATTCCACTGCCCCTTCTGCCAAACATGCCCCAACCTACCCCAGCTCTGGCAGCTGGCACTTTCCAGGACCAGGGTCTTGCTTCTTTTTCTGTAGCCCTCATCTGCCCACAGCACCCCAGTGCCCAGATACTCCCACCAGCAGAGCTGAGCCCACCCCCTGCCCAGAAGGTAGAAGGCAGGAGGTCCCCACTCCAGCCTCTCACAGTGGCAGCGGACAGCCATCTACAGACCAGCACTGGGCCAGTTCTCTGTCCCTCCAGTCCACTCAGGCTGTCCCTGAGAAGCTGCTGTGTTGTGTGACAGGCTGCTCTCTAGGTGTCTCCTGCACCCTCTCACTGTATCTCAGCATTGCTTCTCGTTGGCACAGGACTGCTGAGGAGGCCTGTGCTCACAGGGAGAAAAGCTCACCCGGGAGGCAGCTTTTGGTATGACTTTTTCTGCCCTCTTGCTTCTCTGGGCCTGTTCTTTGATTCTTCTGGCCTGGCATATCTGCCTCCAGGCAGAAGTGGCCCGGCTGTTCCAAAAACTCAGGGAGAGGTAACTGACCTCTCCTGAGGAGACTGTCTCCCCGGCCAGGCTAGAGGGCTTAGCCGTGTACTTCTCCCACGCAGCACTTGGGCAACCCCAGCCCCTCCTTTCCATCCCGAGCCCTTCTGGCAGCAGCCAGACCATGAGCAGAGTTCATATCCCATCGCTTACCACCTGGGGTCTGGGTAAATGTCTGTACTTTGGGGTATCACAGAAATACATTTTTGTGCAAAGTGCAGAAGAGTGAGTGGTCTTTTTTTTTTCAGAGAAGATTGGGGGATACTGGTCTGGGGGGTGGGTGATCGGGAAAGGTGGTAGGGGTCTCCCAGGAAGACCCTGAAGGGCAAGTAGGTTTATATGCCTGCAGGCTGCAGATAGGTGCCACACCGAGGTGAGTATCTGTGGCATTCTCTCCACAACTGTGCCTAGACACTAAGGTCATGGCTGGTCACTAGTCTAGTAGGATCTCTTCTGGGATCATAGCCTGCTGGGAGGGACGCACGGTAGATACAACCTCATCACTCTGCAGTAAAGATAGGAAAGGAGCCTCCTGCCACTGCTAGGAATGGTGGAAGTAGCTTGGAAAGTCTGGTGGATGCTAGGCAGCATTACATGACTGCCCAAGGAGTGAAGAGAAGAAGGAGTCAGCAAAGGGTCCTCCACATAAGGCTAAGCTGAACCCAGTGGGAAAGTGGAGCCGGCTAGAGATAGCATCTCTGACAACAGGCCTTGCCATGACAGACTGGGAGAATTCCATGGGGAGCAGTCCTGTAAAGGAACATGAAGGCGGGGGTGGGAGGACAGAGCTAAACAGCTGGAACAGACCTGAAATGACCAGACTGTGGCTTTGCCGGGACAGCTATGCTGTATCTCTGGGTCCTGGTGTCACGGAGTAGTTGATGCTCTCCAGACCATGCTGAGGGTGTAGGCAGGAGTACCAGGATCACATCAGACAGTCTGGGAGCCAGCCTGCTGTCTGCACCCTTCTAAGTGGAGCAGAGCCCATACCAGACTCTTCCCTGGGTGAGTGCCCTCTATCACACAGCCCACAGAAAGAGCATCACACGTGGTGGTTTGCCCTTGAACTCAAAGAGGGTCAGCCAAGTGTGTCAGCCAAGTCCTAGAGGAATTAGGCGTGGCTGTCTGGGCCTGCTGAAGCCTCTCTCTCTGCACACCCTGCACACCCTGCATTGGGTTTGCCTGTGTGCATTCCGCGTTCTCATAGTCCTTGGAACAATCCACAGTACCTGCACTCAAAAGGTGAGGTGCCTTCTTACTTACACCCCAAGTTACCACAATAAAGGAGGGGCGCAGGCTCCCTAGTACACTACACGCTCCTAGCCTGGGTGCCTGCTATTCCCTGTGTCTGCAGCACTGCCTCCTGCTCATTCCGTCACGGTGCCTGGCTCCATTCCCGTGGGAGCGTGAACACATCAGGGCTGTGCCGAGGCTCTGCACATAGCACTCAACGTCCAGGGCTCTTTTTAGATTCATTTTACTTACTTCATGTGAGTGTACGCTACTTGTGTGTGGTGCCCATGGTGGCCAGAAGATGGCAACAGCTCATACCTGTGTGGCATGGGTGCTGAGAACCAAACTTGAAGAATAGTGAGCATTGGCCCCTCAGCCATCTCTCCAGCCTGCCTATCCAGGGCTCTTACTAAAAACTTACTGGCTGAGTCAGACATGTGGCTTAGCAGGAAGGGAGCTTGCCTTCCAGGCTGACTATCAGAGTTCCTTTCTCCGCACCCACACAGTGAAAAATGAGATCAGAGGCCTGCAACCCAACCTCCCCCACCGCCAAAACAAATAAATACCCTTAATTTTTGTTGTTGTTTTTCGAGATAGGGTTTCTTTGTGTAGCCCTTGCTGTCCTGGAACTCTCTCTGTAGACCAGGCTGGTCTCCCTCCTCCTGTCTCTGCCTCAGGAGTGCTGGGATTAAAGGCGTGGCCACCACCACTGGGCTACTTCCCCCCCCCAAGATGGGGTCTCCCTGTGTAGTTTTTGATCTGCCTGAAATTGTGTAGACTAGGTTAATGCTGGGACTAAAGCCATGGTCACCACGCCCAGTTGCAGTGTGGTTCTTGCAGAGGGCTACAGTTTGGTTTTCAGCACGCAAATGGTGCTTATAGCCATCTGTAACTTCAGTTCCAGAGGATCTGATACCCTCCTATGACCTCTGCAGACAGCAGGCACACACATGGTGCACAGACATACATCCAGGCAAAAGATTCACACACACAAAAAATAGTCACCAGGCTCTAAGCCTGATGACCTGATTTCAGTCCCTGTAACCCACATTGCAGAACTAACAGGTAGGATTATCCTCTTTTTTTTCATGGATACACCATGGACATCATGTCTGCACACGAGTGTGTGCATGAACACACAGACTCACAAATGGAGTGTGTGTATTTTGTTTGTTTTCGTCTTTTTTCCCCCTGAGACAGCCTCACTATGCAGGTGCAGCCCTGTAGACCAGGCTAGCCATCAGCCTGTCTGTGTTCTGTGTGTCCCAAACACTAGAATTAAAGGTGTGCTCTGTCCCAGTGCTGGCGTTAAAGATGCGGGCAATCCAACCACCACCACCTTTTTTTTTTTTTTCAAAGATAGGGGTTTCTGTGTAGCCTTAACTGTCCTGGAACTCTTAGAGTCTGCCTGCCTCTGCCTCCTAAGTGCTGAGATTAAAGGAGTGAGCCACCACTGCCTGGCTTCTAAACCCTTTTTGGGTTTTTTTGTTTTGTTTTTGAGACAAATATATATCACACAAGTTGGCTTTGAATCTTCTTCTCATATATATAGCGGCGGAGGATGGCCTTGAACTTCCTGATTTTCCTGCCTGTACCTCCTGTATGTTGAGACTGCAGGCATGTACCACCATATTACTATTACACCATGCTGGGAACTGAATCCAGGACTTAGTGCGTACTAGGCAAGCACTCTGCCAATCGTGTTCATCCCCAGGCCCTATTTAGTAATACCATGAAATGGTTCTGATTAGCGCGCGCACACACACACACATACACATACAAACCATGCTGGCCTTGGAAAGTCAGTTCTACAGAAAAAGAAAATATCTAGGGGCTGGAGAGATGACTCAGCGGTTAAGAGCACTGACTGCTCTTCCAAAGGTCCTGAGTTCAATTCCCAGCAACCACATGGTGGCTCACAACCATCTGTAATGAGGTCTGGCGCCCTCTTCGGGCCTTCAGGCATACACACAGACAGAATATTGTATACATAAGGAAGGAAGGAAGGAGGGAGGGAGGGAGGGAGGGAAGAAAGAAAGAAAGAAAGAAAGAAAGAAAGAAAGAAAGAAAGAAAGAAAGAAAGAAAGAAAATATCTAGTTGACCAAAACAACAACAGCATGGAGTTGGAAAGGGGGCAATCAGAGGAAGGTCAGCTGAATGGGGAGGGTCCTAGGACACAAGGAAAGAAAGTCTAGCTGGGCAATGGTGGTAGCCCGAGTGACAGGCACCTGTATTAGAGACGGGTACTGTCGCCAACCCCACTGAAAGGCAGAGAGTAGATCAGAGTTCAGCGACTTCGAGGCATGGGATATCTCTGACTCCAAGTCGTGCCAAGCGCGTCCAGAATCCGCACCAGAACCCTCCTTTTTCCCATCATTCGTTTGCAATATCGGAAAACGAATAGGAGGCCAGTGTGTCATCAAGGCGCACCCTCGAGCAAGCCCTGCCAATCATCCCTTGGCAGCAAGCACTGCGTGGCCTCCGGGCATCACAGACCACATCTC